GGGGGGATTTTGTATTCAATATTCTTCTTCCAAGTGCAAGCGACAGATTTCATCTGTTCCCAAAAAAGTAATCAACCGTTTTGCAATGACTAATTATATTTTGTGTTTCGATATTAGCAACTGACATACCCCACATTTGTCTATATACTCCATCCACGTTTTACGAGAATTTCCCCGATGCATGATGTCGTTATCAATAAGATATTGAATTAACGCTTGTTGCTCTGCGAATGTCCAGGCTGTACTGTAAAATCATAATTATATTCTTGAAAAGCGATGAGTACGGAAGGAAATGATTTTTCGATTTCGATTTCGTGAAATTGAATTGATTTTTTTCCCCCTTTTTTTTTTATGCTTATTTTACATCGCTTCGAGTCGGAGGAGACTAAGTGGCGATTGATCAGGACTTTTTAAAGCTGGTTAGATCTCACCATTCTACCCGGCCAGGAATCGAACCTGGAACCCATCCGTTGTGAGGCAACGACCTTAACCACTACGCCAGGCCACCGGGGTTTTTCCCCTCGGAATGCTTGCCAACAGAATTGCATCACTCGACTGGTTTTTAAATAGTCAAGACGAAATTTAAATGATAATTTTTCAGGAATTGCAGTGGTAAATTCTCAGGTGGATATACATAAAAAGAAATAGATTGGCCAGTCCAAGTCATTGTCATCGAATTTAAAAGAATAATATTGTGTTAATTGAAAAGTTTTGATTTCTAAATTTGTCTCGTAGTGCAATTCTATTCACTGAAATTTCGATGAATGATAATCCCCCGAATACCATGCGAGCTCCAAAATTAATCGGGTATTTCCCTCAAGGTCTTCTGCAAACAAACGCAGTAGTCAAATTTTTCAGAAAAATCACTTACGTTTCACGCTCGTTAAAATGTTTTTTCAACCTGAAGACCCTATTGGGAGACATCTGATAATTTCGAAGCTCTCGTGGTATCATAAGTGAGTATTTCTAGTGGAAATATTCTAGTCTAAATTTGTGAAATCAGCGTTACACCTGATCAGGCACCTGATGATACACTTGATCACCGCTTGATCAAAACGCGACATCGATTTCCACTTGGGATCCCCGAATATTTTCCTCCGTGTGATTATGAAATTCTTAAAAATGGAACTCGAAAATATAAAGAAAAATTGAATACAGAAAAATTGCGGAATTGAATGCTCACTTTTTCGGTGTAGATAACTTATTCTCTATTAGATTTCTCCTTCTCTGGTTTCTGAGCCCAGGTGCACTATCGCTTCGTTTTCTAAAAAAAAAAAAAAAGCAAAAAAATGAATAAACCAAAAGTATGAATATCAATGGATATAGTATGAATATAGTTCAAATATAGTATAAATCTTTAAGCTAGTACATATGTTTAACTTTTAACAACTACTTTAAGGCTCGGGTGGATTATCTAGAAGAGATAATTTACTTCGAAATTCGGATTCCTAATTACTTTGGCAATTAATCGTTTTTTTACAATAATTATTAGCTAGTGTTCTAGCGGTTGTCAACAACTAGGCCGCTAGCTAACAATTATTGAAAAAAACGATTAATTGACGGAGTAATTAGAAGTCCCAATTTTGGAGTAAATTATCTTTTCCAGATAGTCCATCAGGGTCTTAATGATTACCTTGATCTATCGGTGACTTGTCTTGTCGATGAATGACTACGATTTGATAGGATCATGTCATCACCGGCTTGTGAATGATTACTGTCGTCGCTGGTTTGAGAAACACCTGAGTCATCTGACAGTTCATCCTCTTCGACAAGACTTTCATACTGATCTTCTTGAACTTCAGCTGAATGATGATCCTCTTCATCACAAATTTCGAAACGCTCAAGCTTTACAAAACATTTTTTTGTGCAAGTACTCGAGGCTGGATCATTAGAAGAATTCTCACCATCTTCCAATCCATTCTGGAATTCCAATATTCGAAGTGATGTGTCAATTTTTGTGGATGGATCAAATTTATTTTCCTCATTTCCAAATGATTTGATTGATTCATCTCTCGGATTTTCCAGTCGTTGATTTGTGCTCTCCCAAAGTCTACGGAATTATTTTGATTGTTGACGATTACTTCGTATTGACATTGATTCCTCGAAGAATCAAAAACTCACAATTATATTGAATTTTTTAAATCCAATTAAAATCAGACAATAATAAGTGGTATTTACTTTCCTTTTTATCGTTGTGTTAATAAATCTGAAATTCCTGTATCTAAAGATAAAGATAAATGGGTGGTGCCAGATGGTATGACCCTAGTGGGTCTTTTACCAACCCTTTCCCAGTACCTAAGCGGTACCCCAACCTAATTCCCAACCCGCACTTTTCATCTAGCTACCTTATAACTAACTTCCACAGGCACTGGGTTCGTTTTCCGACGATGAAAAATTTTTCACCATCGGGACTCGAACCTGCATCCCTTACCGGGATGCTTTGGTCATAGGGCCAGCACGCTGACGACTAGCCCAAAGACGTCCTAAATTCCTGTGTCTATTATTAGTGCAATCCGGTATTATCTCTCGATTTCTAATTATTTCCAACGTATCAATCATTGAATAAATTTTGTAATGTTTCTCTACATATTATGAAATATTCATATTAACAATTTTATCCCCCGATTATATCAATTTAAGAAAATCATCGCCTCAAAGTAATCTCTCTTTTATGCTGAATTTCAAATTTCCTTCTATCCCCTAAAATTAACCTCCTATTTTCTCCATTTTATTCAAAAACAAGATATAAATTACTGATTGTAAAACCCAGAAAAAATTTTTGAATCTCCCGTTAATTGTCGTTCATTCCCTAATTTTTTACAAAATGATAGCTAACCGCATGATTACAGAACCTTCATCATTTTTCATGAATTCCCTTTCCCGCGTAGAGTTGCGTAAAAAGAGTACTTAAAAGTGCTTAAAAGTATTAGATATCATAAAAATTTGCTTGCTATAAAATTTACGTACTTGTAATCCATCAACTCGAGGGGCTGGAGCCCAACGATGCTGTCATGAAAATATTTAATATCATAGTATTCATATTTCTCAGTGCTGAGAGGACCTCCTGCTTCGCAAAAAACAATTGTATCCGGACCATCAGGCTCCGATAATTTCCCTCCATAAGCCTAAATTAGCATAAATAAATATTAAACGTATGACAAAAGCATGCTAATTAAATCACGCAATCATTACATCTTCGTATGAAAAATTAACCTCAATGATCTTGACTATAGCGGTGAACTCATGAAGATCGTATCCATCTAAATAAAATTTAAAAGGAACTCCATTTGTAATAAATAAATTTGAATTGAACCACATTGAACTCGAAAAATTGTGACCCAAATTATCCATAATTAGATTATTCATTTATTTATTTGTTTATTTATTTCAGTTAAATTTAATTATTTTTAGATTATTTAACGATTTTACTTTTATTAGTCTATATATATTGACTTTTAGAACAGATTTTATATCCTAAGAAGAACGCAATCACATGAATAAAGTATACACTATCCGTTTGAACGGTCACTGAGGCGATACTGATTCAACGATAATTAATTTTGTTCGATCCGTTTGTTTTGTTTCGAAAGGACTCATCATTTCTGGTCAACACGATAAGGAAAAATATGTCAAGGTTACTTCATTTAGATCCGGTGAACTTCAAATATATAGGTTTCAGTAAATATCTACACGGAGAGAAAAATTCTTTAAAAATTACGTGCCTGTTCCGTAACCTGCCAGTCAAAATAGTATTCAGTAAAAATTACGGAACAGTTACGCACTTTTTCAGTGACCTTTTAGGAAAAAGTCCAGAACGTTCAGGAAAAAGTCCAGAACGTTCAGGAAAAAGTAGGGAACGTTCCGTGAAAAAATGCGCAACTGTTCCGTAATTTTTACTGAATACTGTTTTGACTGGCAGGTTACGGAACAGGCACGTAATTTTTAAAGAATTATTCTCTCCGTGTAGTAGGGGAGAGGTAAAATGTACCCCTATTTTTTAATCAGGGGTGAAGGTAAGATGGATCGTCTTTATTTTCATATTTTCGTTATTTTCTTTTTCATTTTTTATACAGATATAGATGTAAGCGCATCGTGTCCGTGAAATCTTTCATTTAAGGCCCGGGTGGACTGATCGAACATCGACTTTTGTTTAAATTTTATCTTTTTAATCTAAAATACATTAAAATTTGAGATCAATTTTGTGTTGCGGGAAGCACTTGAATGGACGTGAAAAAATAATGAAAAAAAAGAGGAAAAATTATTGAAGGGCGGTAAAGATCGATATTATTTAAAAGGGATTTACAAAGTTTGCTGAAAAATAATAAAAAATACGTAGCTTACTATTGCATCTAGCTGTCACTCAATCTTCTGGAGAGCAATAGCAAGCTGCGTAATTTTTATTATTTTTTTGTAAACTTGGTAGATCCCTTTTGAACAATATCGCTCTTTAGCGCCCTTCAATAATTTTTCCTCTTTTTTTTCATTATTTTTTTATAACCATTCGAGTAGCTCCCGAAACAGAAATTTGATCCCAAATTTTAATGTATTTTAGGCTAAAAAGATAAAATTTAAACAAAAGATGATATTAGATAGTCCACCCGGGCCTTAACAGGTTTTCTTCATGTGAATGTATAATAAATACCATAAATAATCAGGAATAAATTCAGTAGCGAATGAGTACCTATTGGAATGGTGGAGGGAATCGAAGGAACTGCATTCGTTTAATGATTTTTTTGAGAAAAAAAATGGAAACTAAATAATGAGAGGGAGGGAGATCCGTTTTACCCTACCTCCAAAATTGTCATTCCGCAGACGAATTGAAAAAATTGAAGCGAATTTTTCGCGGTTACGAGCTAGTCATTTGAGTCGTAAAAATTGTTGAGGAACGAGTTTCTGATTGGGGAATCCATTTTACCGCCCCCACCCCAATAAGAACAATTAATGCGGTTTTTATGCATTTTTTCCTTTTTATTAATTAAAATATTTATAATATATATACACTCAGTACGGATAATAAGGATAGACAGAACTGCAAAATATACAATTCGATAATTTATCCAACGTATTTCGTGCGGCACCTTGTACAAATAATTTTCCAAAAATTATTGGAAAGGACAAACACGTGATCATAACGTTCAGCTGATGTTATTGCCATTTGATATTTTCAAACGTTCAATGAAGCGAAGGAAATTAAATCCTCAAAATGAAGAAATAAGATGGAAATTGAAAACTGCAAATTATTCTTTAAATATCTGAAAGAAAAAAATGTTGATAAATGATCGTGACAAGAAATATCAACAGGGCTTTGCTGTCATGAATTTCATCCTGTACAAAAAAATATTTCCGCATTCAAATATAATTATTAGCACGGAATTACCATCCACCCACCGATTTATCATACCTAATAATCTCCTGTTCCAAATTGCCATAAATGTCAACAAACCATAAAATTTCAAATCTACTCTATAAATACTGACGAAAAAAAAAGGAAAACAAGAACATGAATATCCCCAATGGAGTGAGAAAAATTGTCGCACGAAATTTAATGAAAAACCTAAAGTGTGGAAACTATTATTTCAAAAATAACTAAAAACCTTCATTAAGCACAAAACGATTCACCAGACGTTAATTAGTTGGTTCTTACACTTCTACCAATGTCTTGTCGATAATTATTCATAAAATTACTCGATCCTCAGACGCTTTCCTCGTAAAAGCGATCCAATAGGCGGAAACCTAATTGAAATGATTCGACAAGAACATATTCATAATCTTCCTTTCAACTGAACTCCCTGAAACTTTGAGAAATACGTAATCGAAGAAAGAACTAATAAAACGACTGAATGAAATCGCCAAGTGCGAGCCCTAGGATATGCTATCGAAATTTTAGATGCGCCATCTTGCTCACCGGAAGTGATATCAGATTACCACTCGAATCAAACCACAAACATCGCCTTGCAAACCCGAATTGACGCTTACTGGCCACCAGACACAAAATTCCAAAAAATTGTCGCAACGCCTTGAAAGAAAAATTGCGAAATTTCCAGAACAAGTTTCTATAAAAATACATGTAACTCTGTTCTTGCATAAACTTCATGACGGTAATTAATTCCTCGCTATTTTTGCTGACTCCTTGCCACCGGCAACGTGCTCCAAATCAAGGCCATCATACTCCAGTGTACCAGCATTGTCGTAATACGCGTAATCGTAATCATTCTTCTTGGGTGCTTTAGGTCGTGGTGTAGTGGCATCAGTGAACTTGGCAGTTGTGGAGAATGGCCTAGCTGAGCTGCTGTGAGTTGATGATCGTGTTGTCTGCTGTTGTGTTCCCCTCTGATTATTACCATTGAAGCTAACAGGATTGTATGTTGTGGGTGAGCCATTTCGTCTGTAAAACAGAACCGGAAGAGAAAGGTGAGCTCGTCTATACGACGATGGGAGAATCTTTCTTATTTCTATTGTTCGTTCAGATAGTGAATTATGGTAATCATGGAGATCCAACCGATACTAGAGCTTCAACCATTCACACCGATCTCAGGTCGATGAGAACAATAACCTTGACAGACACCATCATTTATTTTCAAGTGAAAAATTATTATTACAGCTACCGATGGCTAATTAGGCTGCCCGGACATAACTGTACATTCCGAAGACATATCTCAGATATATCAGCATTTTTGGCTGAGAATATATCCGGATATTATTCAAATATTCCTTCGGATATATAATTTTCTTTGAGGGTGACTGAAACCCGAGTAATAATATAGTTTTTCAAGTACTAAGTAAATTTGGTACTTCATCGAAAAAAAAAATCCACTTGAACGTGGAAAACGTTCAATAGACTAATTTGTGGTATCGATTCAATATATATCGCACGCAATATTCGATAAATGAATGAGTGAATGGGGGAATTGATTACATAATAAATTCACGAACACTTTCTATTCCTTGAATCGCAAGATATTCCTAAACCGTAAATATCTAGATGCTAAGGACATTGGGTATTTAATACCTGGTCTGTTTAAGATCGAATTAAGTCGATGAGTTCAAGATGTACCGATTTGTTTACCAATCGGTCGTTGAAATTATTCGGAAATAATGATAAATCATTGACTTGTAGAAGAAAACAAAGACAATTAGAAAAAAATTAGCACCTTGGTACAGGCGTAGTAGTCTTCGGGGTCTCAGCCAATAGATTGATGCTTGAAGGGCTGAATCCGATTCCCGATGCCGATCTTCCAAAATCATAATTTGTCGTACTCGCCTCAAAGTACTTGGCTGTATTATCATAATTATTGTACTGTGTAACCTTCTTGGGTGCTTTGGTGACGTCAAAGAATGGTGCGGGTTTGACAGGTTTGTCTGAGAATTGTCCATTGGAATCCTGACCGTTATACCGATCTCCTCCTCTTCCACTTCCCTCATTCACTTTCTTAGTTATGGGTGCATAAGTAGTTGGCACATAGATTCCAGTGGAGAAACTCTGATATTTATTGTTAGTAGTCTGAGCATTCTGTTTAGTCACACCATTTGTCTTTCCGGTGAACTGATTATTTGCACTGTACGCATCGTAAAAAGTGCTAGCAGTAGTGGTACTTGGGAATGCAGTGGTGGATCTCTGAATGTTGTTGTAGTTCCTCTGCTGGAATCCAGTTAAATCAGTTTGCTGATAGTTTGTACTTGGTGCAACAGTCGTTGGTTGGGCTCGTGAGCCTTGATTGTACTGCCCCTTCTGATTGTTGTATTGTCCATTGGACGAGCTGAAGTTGTCTTGATAATTCTGATTGTAAGTCGTTGGTCTCGGTGAAGTTCCATGTTGGTAGTTCTGGCTGAATGTAAATGGTTTTACCGTTGTCGATACTGTCTGATAGTTTGTATTCTGCTGATTGTAGTTGTTGTTGGATGTTGTTCTAGCTGTTGTACTGGGTGCCTGATAGGTACTGTACTGCTGAGTTGTTGGTGGTCTGAAGGTCGAAGGTGCCGCGTACTTCTGGGCATTTTGATTCTGACTTCGTTGATTGCCATTGTAGTCCGATGTTGGTCGGGCTGTTGTTGTGGTTTCGTACGTTGTTCTCTGATGATTGTAGTAGTTCCTGTTATAATTACTGTTGTCATTGCTATAATCCTGAGTTGGACGAGCTGTTGTTGTGGTATCGTACGTTGTTCTATGGTTGTAGTAGTTCCTGTTGTTGTACGCGTTGTAGTTCGTTGTTGATGATGGTGCTAACGTGCTAGATGGTGCGTCGTTGTTGTTGTTGTTGCTGTACTGCTGCTTTCGGGCGATCTTTCTCACACCGGGTTTCTTCTTCGGCTCAACGATCGGCTCATCTTGGTAGCTTTTTTCGCTGTCGTAGTCGTCATCCTTGACATTGTTCCTACTGTTGTAGTAGTTGCTGCTGCTGCTACCGCGGAGGATATCGCGGTTGTTGGAATTTGATTGTGAAGCGAAGGTGGGGCTGACGCGATTCAGACTGTTGGCGGCGGAACGCACGGGGTCATTCGACTCACTGCGTTGGAGATGATCCTGGGGCTCAGCATCACTTCGCAAGGAGTCATAATGAACTGATTCCAGTCCAGAGCCTAGCCGGTAGAGGTCAAAATTATCGGAGGCGTAGTAAAGTGTAGCTGCCTCGCAGTCCACGTCGTACCAATCCGCGCATGTCTGCGATTCTTGATCGAACGCTGTGTCGTTTGGACATAAGAACCTAAAAGAAAATTATTCGCTGAATTAATCAATCCGTCGATCGAGTGATCACTCCATTTCTCGACCCTTAGGTGGCTTCATCGGAAGGGAATTCATAATTCTTGTTAAATCATACGCTCAAAAATATTAATTACCAGAATCCGCTGCTTCTTAGGGGAAGTTCACTCTTGGAACAATGTAAAAATAATCGTATCAAGTACATATCTTGTTCTTCGGTCAAGTACTACATCTGTTGATGCAGTTATTTTTTGCTAGTACTTCTGATACTTGTCACAAGTAGCAAAGAAACGTGGGGAAGGATTTTTCTAACTCTGCGGAATTATTTTTGGACTTTCAATTCAGTATTTCTAATTACTCTATTGAGAGGAGTGAATATTATTACTGCAGACTGAACTCTTTTGTGTTAACAAATAGTGTAAAAAATACTTGTGACAAGTACTCAAGTACTTTTCACCAATCCACCGATTCTTGACGCATACCATCCATCAATTTTCCCCATGACTTCAAGGAAGTACAAAAATGCACAAATCCTTTTTGTACTCGTAATGATCAATTGAACAGAACAACAAGGATATCGATAAATTGAATTTTATCGATACATGAATGGAGTAATATTTCCAGAAAATGGAAACATAAATTTTTTCAGAAGTGTGTGAAGATTTCTTGATGGAATCGAAAATATTTTCAAGTAAAAAAATGAGGATAATTGATTACTCACTTGTAATCCTGGACAACCCCGGCGACGGAAGCACACACGTGGAACAACTGACAGTCCGTCTCTGGATCGGCATAGTAACTACCCACGATCTTATTGCGACAGGTAAACGAGGTTTCCGGCATGAATTGCTGGGAGTATCTCGGTGCTGGTCGTTGTAGTCCCAATACACAGCTCCACAGTATCCCAGCTGTAGAAAACAATGCAATTACACAATTAAGATACTTCATTATACCCTCTCCACCGGTCTTTTCATTAAAAAATTTAAACTCCCTCGTCACTTTTTTTATTGTTTGCATTTAGGTGAGGAAATTTCGAAATTTTGTTGTCTCATTGTCCAAACTGTAATGAATATCAAACTAGAGTAATTAGAATGATTTCTCTCACTCGAGTCACGTAATTAAAACGATTGGATCGTTGTATTCACCCGGAAAATTGAAAAATCGGCTGGGAAAAATTGGGGTGGACTTCAATCGGCTATTTTATTTGTCTCTATTCTTCTGTTGTAGAGCTTCGTGGCTCATGCTAGATGAAACCGTGATAAACACCGGATGCAAGATGTACCTTTCTACCGACGATACCTTCGCATAATGAGAAATATATTCATGCAATCGTGATGCACGCATCGTTCTACTTTTATTAGAATTTTAAAAGAGTCCTCTAATCACATTTTTTTCATTTCTTTGTCATTTCAATTATCTCTTTCATCACCTCTGTTCACTACTCGCAGAAAAAAAAAGGTTCAATTCGTTAATTAATCAAAACTAAATTAATTAAAATTGATTAAACAATTAAATGAAGATTTAACAGTTCCAGTGAAACTTTTTTGTTTTTAATTTGACTTTTACTTTTAACTTTTACTTTTGATTTCTGGGGATCAATTCAAAGAGAATTTAGTGAATATTAATATACCCCTTCAATTATGAATGGGTAGATAGGGAATTTTATTTCAGGTGAAAAATTTCAATATCTTTTTTTTCCTTTGTTGTTTAACATAAAATGGGCATTAAAATAATAAAAAATTATTGAAGGATTTGTATAATTATGAATTTGCTTCAGTGCATGCATAATTCGTTAGATTTTCGGAAATTTTTCAATAATAATCTAAGTTCATATTATTTTATTTTTTGTTGAAGATCCTTCAAATCGAATAACTTGTACAATATTATAGAAATTTTTTTATACTTGTTATATTTGTCTAGTCAAGACCTTCCCAAATTTCGGGATTCAATGTCTCATTTCTGGTAATCTCCCAAAAACAAATAAAACAAAAGTAGCAAATTTCAAAAACGGAAAACCTGAACTCGACAACCATTCTTTCGAAATTCGCTCCATCTCTCTTCATTCCCGAAAATTCACCAAAAACGATAATGAAAAAATACAAATTCCGTTTTGACACTTCACTAGTCAACTGATCGCTTGGAATAAAAAATAAATAGAATGCTCGCACTTCACAGGATAAATAAATAAAAATGAAACAAACCAAAGGAAAATAGGATCACGTTGCTGACTGACATCTCCGTTTTCTTGAAGAACTCAATGAAAAACTCAATGTCAAATAAAAAAAAAAATAAATAGAAAAATCACAACGTTGGATTGTCGAAAAATGATATTCCTCGTGTTAATCTGGAGTTGTACCGTCTGAATTCACTTCGGGGATGCGACTGCAGGAGTGCCGGTGAATGTCTCAACGAAGAGGAGAGTTGAGACTCTTGGATCCTCACCTGGGAGTAGGATGAACAATTCCAGGTGGTAGGGGAGAATCCGATGGAGAACGTACGATTGCTGGAGATATGTACGTAACTTGACGTTACGTCATATTATTCTTGAGGCCCTTATACGAGATGTGAAGAGTGAGAGCGAGAGAAGGAGTGAAAGAGATTCAGGACGAGGGGAATGTGACATCTTCGGGCTTGAGGACATAAGAATCACTCTCTAATTTTTTTCACTCCACCGAGTGATGAGGAACAAAAACCGAGAATTCTGGTTCATTATAACTGACTTTCCATTTCAATGAATTCCAACCAGTTGATTATTTTCAGGTGAAGATATTCGCGGGGTATTTGAGGACAGGGAATGCGAGTGGGTGAAAATGTTTATCGGGTCTCGTGGGCTGTCGGAGGGTCAATAGGCGGGAGAGGACATCTGCGTGGACTTTCCTTTTAATCATTCTGGTCAAGGAGTGTTGGGAATGTTAGGTGAGGAGATTAAAAGGAATTTCGAGGGGTTCCGTTGACGAGACATTCAACATCAAACATTTGAAATTACCCATTTGCGAATCGTTACGAGATGTTTATGTTGGATTTTTATCGATTGATAATTGGTTTATCCCATAGTAATACAGTGAGGAAGAAAATTAACAAATTAAATGAAAATTGTGGTGAAACTAACAAGTGAAATTAATGAATAGTCGAAACCGCGTGTGCGATTGCAAGTGCTGCATACGGAATTGAATAAGTTTGTTTGAACCAAGTAATTTTTTTTGTACATCATAATTAGAAAAATATTTTTAACGTTTCAATCGTTACAAAAAATTGATATAATATAATATAATTAATATTTTATTATATCAATTTTTAAACATTAATATTAATTTTTACTATCCATTTGTTAAGGAACAGTGAATTACGCAAATCTACAAAAACATTAAATCAATGAAATAGTTACGTCCTTTACCGACGTGCGGTGGCCGTGCGGTTAGAGCGTAGGGGGTAGGCACATGAGATTCGTGGGTTCGATTCCCAGGCGGGGAAAAGCCAGGGGTTTTTTAGAGATAGAATTCGCTCTAACTTGCACAGGTTTCATCGTACGAGCGGTAGTCTCGAACGAGACGACTGTACCTGGCCAAGGTTTTTTCCCATGAGGTTTCCCTTCAGCCCTCGGCGTAATTGCAGTACAGGGGGAACTGGGGGTGGGAAATGTAAAAGCCCGAAAGGGTATACATGTGTGGAAAAGTTTAGTTAGTTACGTTCTTCCAAAATATTTTCGATTTAAAAAAATTTAATGTGGAACCACGGTTTTTTTAATTCACGAAATTTTTTCTGGAATTAATATCCATTGAAGGATTTTCGAAGAATATTAATAATTCTTAAAAGCATTCGTAAAAATCGGTCTTTGGCGAGTGGTGTTCTATAACAGAACGTGTCTCCCTCGTGCAAATTAAAATGCTTCAATAAAGTACCTGATTGCTCTGGTACATGTCTTCATTCACTTGCTCCCATATTCTAATAATGAGCGGGGAATTTACCTAGCGTAAACGCCGCTCCCACATTTCTCATAACATTTTGAGGTATACGGCACGTGACACAAGTCCCAGATCATAAAAGGTAGGAAAGAGGCACGTAATTTTTATTGAATTTTTCTCTCTGTACAACCTTTAATTACAACAGAAAGATGTAATGTCCGAAATAATGAAAAGAGACTCACACTTCTAATCCTTAGAATCAACGTAGACCTGTTACCCTGGAGGAACTGGTGACCAGGGACACTTTGATACGAACTCAAGCAAGATTGGACATTAACAACCTATCTTACATTATATCGAGTCTTTAACAAAAATTTATTTGTTAACAATAAATGATAATTTATTATTCGCATTATTCCCCTAGGATATGAATTACTGCGGAGTAATTAAAACGATCGTGTTTATTAAATAAGTAATTCACCTATAGAATAATTTATTGGAAAAATGATTTTATTACAAAAAAAAATGGTTTTAATTAAAGATTTTTAATTCTTGTTGAACAATTCTGTTTTCTTTTCATCTTCACGAACAATGGGGCTCAGGTAATACCTGAAGATTATATTTTGAATGTTGATACTCAGAATTTTCCACCGACAGTAAAAAAATACTTTTACCAAAATAATTCTTATGCTATGGGAATTGTCTTGGCACGAGTAAATGTTTAAACATTTACTGTTGAAATGTGTGAATTTTCTCGTGGAGAGTAAATTTACTCGGGAAGTCATTTTTTCCTGAGTGGAAGTTTGTATTCTCAAAATTAATTACTGGATGATGGACTAAATACAAAAATTAAATATACAACCTAATACACACCATTTTGACTAATCGAATCGTATATTAAATTATTTGTTAACAATAAATGAAAGATCGAGTCATCCAATTAAATTGTTGATAATATATTTTCACCTACAAACAATAGATTTTTTTCTCAGGATGCCGTGTCACTGACGATGGCTGTGTGAAATAACATCCAATTTCCTCGCATCTGTAGTCTTGAGAATTTTCAAAGAACTGAAACAGAAGTGACTGCAGTCATCACTCATAGAATTCCCGATAGTTCAGTAGTTGCCCACGGGCAACTGTCACTTCACGAGGTCGATCTTGAATCATCTTTACCATCTTTACCCCTGAGACCCGAGGTAAAGTTATAAAATTACAAAAAATTCATCAGAAACCGGCTGAGTCAGAGGGTCACCGCAGGAATGTTGTCGATTGCGTATCAACAAATTCGATGCTCAAACTTATATCATCAGTGTGATAAAAGTAATCACCACGACTGCGAAATAAATGTTTATTTTCATACCATCGGAAAGAGTGTGATGTTTTTCATCTTCACTGGTTTCTCTTTCACATGGCATTCAACGAACTAAGATCTGACTGAAGTAGTTAATTATCAACATCGAGCATTCATAATAATGACGCTCATCAATAGAGTCATATCCCTAAACTTTTACTTCCATCTTCACAGGTTGTAAAGTCAAGCGTCGGTTCTATAAAAGAGAAATCAAGAGTCCAGATTCTATTATAATGAAAGAATGATTAGTCTCTTGCGGATTAAAAATAATTGTGGAGTCATCGTTATCTTTAATTGAGCTTAACGTACCAAATTAATTAAATGAGACGATTCGACCAGCACAATCACCTAATTTTTTATTTTTAATGAAGAACTCGTTTTTTATGTGGAGGGAATTAATATCACCAATTTTAGTAGACGACTCGATCTTTCATTTATTGTTAACAATTAAACTTTAGTTAAGGATTCGATATTATGTAAGCTAGGTTGATAATGGCCGATGTTGCTCGATTGAGAGTTTCTTGAAGAGTCTCCCTGGTCATCAGTTGGTCCAGGGTGTGGGGTCTGCCTGTGAGACGATTGATAATTACGATATGAATGTGTCCTCTGGGTTCTTAAGTCATAATCATGTAAGTGATGTCAATAAGAACTCCGTCAATTTTAACGATTTAATATTTATGACTGATCAATATTACTATCATATTACTCTATGACCTTCGAGGAGAAAAACTTTATTACATTGACATAGAAATCATCGAAAGAATGTTCTTGAATAAAAAAAATGTCCCGAAGCGAAATTGATGTGCCATATTTATGATGGTTCATCAGTCTGTCATCTTCGATATACGACCGAGGGCAAGAGGTCACCTTGGCCAATCCTACCATTCTCATAGTCTCAAAGATATCGCTCCTGGCGGATTATTAATGTTTAATCTATACATTGAAAGTAGGCTGCCCGTTTCTGCGTAGTTTTTTCTCTACATAATAGACGGGAAATTTATATAGCGTTCCACATCTTTGTGACGTCGAAGAAGTCGTTGGATAGAATTTGGATTAGATAGGAAGGAGAGCAGAATAATACTCGATATAATTTTTACAAGAAAGGTTACTGAAAAAATGGATAGTCCCGACCGGGATTTGAACCCGGGATCTTCCGATTATGCATCCGGTGCTCTCCTTTTTTTCCAACATGTGTTTTTATTAGTATATCAGTGAATTCATGTCTTAACCTACTCTAAACTATTCGAAATTATGTAAATAAATTAATATTAGCTTTGCAATTGCAATTAACTTTACTTTAAAGCCGATGTATCGTTAAATGAGAAAATTAAGAGCTTCTCAGAAACTCACTGGAAAAGAAAATGTTTATTAAATAAGCTATACCGAAACTTTCAAATGTTACATAATAAATAAACAATAGATAAATGTCAATTCGTCTACTTAATCACGTATACTCCTATAATAATAGTAATTGACAATTAAATTGAAAAATGTGATGGATCCGAAACTGAATTATTTGAGCAACAAATAATTTCCGCAGGAAATCCTATCAAATAGTTTTTTAGAACAATAATTAAATCAAACCCATGATTAAATTTGATGACTCATTCCTATTTTTCTCTTACCTGTCACCATCATTCATCTGAAAGGCGATGTGAGTAAAAAAATGGTGTGGATTGTATGTAATTATTCAATTACTCTGGCCCATCAACATTATCTGATTATATTTCACTTGAATCAATAAAAACTGGAATTAGAAATGTAGAGGTAAAATGAGTGGTCATCAATCCCCTGAAATGCCTCATATCAATATAAATTAATGATAGTTTATCTTTGGACATGAAAAAGTGAAATGAACATTGAAAAAAGGAGACTTGATTTACTCATGGGAACATATCGACTCCAAGTAGTTTCTCACAATTATATAATGAATTGAGCATCAGACGAAAAATAGTAGACCACTTGTTTTTATCTGCATTTATCAAATCATCGAGTAATTCCAACATCAAAACTTCATCATCAAAAATTTAATTCATCATCAGGCTAATGGGAACTCAATCTGAAAAGAACTTCACACTTAATCGTATCTCCATTTTTCTTCTCACAGATAAGACGAAATAACGGTGTCAAAATTAA